GATGCTTAAATCCAGTCCATGGGGCCAGCCTGGAAATATCGAAGGATCGCCCCACGGTGCCTCTGGCTGCTAAAATGGGCTGCGTGCGTGGGGGCCCCCCGTGCCTCATTTTCAGCTTCCAAGACCTCCTGCAGCATTCTGCCAGCTTAGAGTGGGCCAAAAAATGGGAAGAAAACAGGCCAAAAAACAGCCCGAAAATGGCCCCAAAAACGGAATGCTGCAGGAGGCTATGGAGGGTGAAAATGAGGCATGGGGGGGGCCACACACTGACCCCCCCCTATGCCCCATTTTGGCCAGCAGGGTGCTGCAGGAGTCATCCATCTTGTCCCCTTGCCGCCGCTGCCCCGTCCCATGGAGAAGTACAATGCTGATCCAGCCCTCGAAGAAATCCAGTTTGACACCCCTACACTAGACCAAATTGGCGCTCTCTGGCTCAAGTTTTATGCTAAACATCTCCACAGCAAATTGACTGGATTAGTAAAATGAGCAAGCAGACTTTAGAACTGGACATTCTATCCCGGGACTTGCCCTAATACAGCAACATTGGGATGAAAAATATTTATCTAAGACAACCTCTGCACTATATGCCACATTAGGTCTGCATTTGATCTCATTTACAGAACAAGGCTGTGGATAAATTTAAATAATGGTGGAGGAGCTGTCTATTGTTGTTAATATATATCTTTTGTAAGAATTCTAGAATAAAGGTTAGTTGTCATTTGCAGGGACATTACAATAAAGAGACCCCCATCTGAAGAAGAGTGAGACATTTCACTTAATTATTTAATTCAATTTCTATAACCTCCTATCTCAATCAATGACTCTGGATGGCTTATAATTTGAAGATAATGGGATAGTTTGTCTACATTTTCAAGCACCTCGCAAGTATACATTTTAAAATATGAAATATCATTCGATCTACCATAATCACTCTTTGAAAGTAGTTTTTCCATATTAGGAGATTTTTCCTTTGGCAACAGATGTCTTCTCATGCAATTCTACTGGTCATAGCAATTTCATTATCCAAATTAGGTAACACATCTAGCTTAAGTAATGAGACACCTGCAAAAAAAAACCCCAAGCTCAGAGAGTTCCAATGATCCCTCATTTCAATCCTGAGCTACAAATAATATTCTTTATTTTACTTTAAATTTTACTTTAAGTAATTCTACTTTAATGTTTGTGGTCTTTACAGCTGTAAACAAAAGCTGGTCACATTCAGTTTAGCTGCTGGACAAGTTAATATTTTTCCAGTTGCTAATATTTCTAAAGTTTTGTTTGTAAAAAGTTGTTCCAATTTACTAATGTACATTATGCTCATGGTTCTATAAATCTGTATCATCTTTCTTGCTGTATGCAGGAAAGAAAATACTTTCTTAAAGAATCTAGTGCACAGTTATTTCAATGTTCCAGATTTTAGTAACAGAATTCAAAAACGATGAATTGAACAGGAACCTTTTTCCAGGAAGGAAAAACAAAATCATTATGTTTACAAGTCTCCTTTAGAGAGTCAATGACCCATCCTGTTACTGATTACTAAGGCTGCCAAATGAAAAAACTTTTTTGGTTTTAAATAATAATCTTTAATGATTAGGCACAAGGCCACATCAGAATGCAAATTACAGGACAATAAGACCATGTATAACAAAAGAGAGCAAATAGAATTAAAAGGAAATGCAAATAATTTCTTCTTATCCCAATCAGATCCTTATATGCAATACTCAGTGATACTATTTTATTCAGATAAAAAAAACACTTTTGCATATTTCAGTTCTGAACATACATGAAATATATTGTTTTAATGTATGGATCCCCATCAGGCCATTTGTCTAATGTGTAATCCAAGATATTGATCTTTCTCATATAACTGGTATTCAACAATATATGTGCTGTGTCCTCCATCTCTGATGCTTCACAAATACATGACAAGGAACGTGGTTAACATATTTAACCATTTTGTCTAACTGCTTAAAATCTCACCTTTATAAAATAGCCCCTGGAATGTGGGAGCATTCCTGTACTTAGATATTTTGCAATCTGAAAGGTAAATTTGTAGTGGCTTAATCCATTTGAATGTGTCGATCTTACTGCAAGTAGCTACATCTCTTAAAGCTTCTACAGCTAATCCTTGACTTATGACCATTTGTTCAACAACCATTTGAAGGTATGCTGGGGCTGAAAAAATGGATTTATGATCCATGCCCAAAGCTATGTGCCCCCATGGTCATGTGATCAAAACTATTTGTTTAGTGTATGGCAAAACACTAAACAAATGTGTTTTAAGCCAGGAGATCACAATGATTGTCTCACTGTCATTGAAGAAACAGTTGATTCTGGGTTGTTGCCCAAAGAGATGCTCTAGTTCAGGATTCCTATACTTTTCAGGGAGGCTTATTTCTTGTCTTCCACCACCTATATAATAACTATTAAAAAGCATTAAAATGTACAAAAGCAAAAGTAAACATGAAGAGAAAGGGGGAAGTTATTAATAATGGATCTAACTCACAAGTTCATCCACTGTCCAGTGCCCCCAGGGCTGCTGGCAGAACCAGGTTTTGAGGAACCTTTGAAAGCTCTGGAGTCATGAGGCCTACTTCATATTTGTGGGGGAGAAGATTTGAGTGCCACAGCGAAATGTAGTTCCCTGAACAACAGAACAAGTAACATGCCCATTTGTTTGTTCTAGTTGGATGGTTAGATGAAATAGGAAAGAGGCAATCCCTCAAATAAGTTAATGTCAAAGGTAATATGAGCTTCACTAAAATGTTTGGGATCTCTAAGTCATTTGACTTAAATGCTTAATTTTGAGTATATTATAGAACTAAAGTTGATTATCATTTTTAGAATCAAAAGCAATATTTAATGTTTACCAGTAACATGTAATCAAACGGCTCTGAAATTAGGAATGAGAAGTGTCTATCATTCCCAATAATATTAATTAAAGCATAATTTGAATACATAATCTGTTAAATTCAATAAAATATGATTTACTACATTTAAGTTTTCTGATCTTTCAGATTTGTTTTGGTTTTTTTTCAAGTTTTTTTTCCTTCAAAAAATATTTGAGGGGCTGCCACAGAGAGAAAGGGGTCAAGCTATTTTCTAAAGTACCTGTAGGCCAGACAAGGAATAATGGATGGAAACTGAACAAGGAGAGATTTAACCTGGAAATGAGAAACTTTCTAACAGTGAGAACCACCAACCAATGGAACAGCTTGCCTTCGGAAGTTGTGGGAGCACCATCGCTTGAGACTTTCAAGAAGAGATTGGACTGGCATTTGTCTGAAATGGTGTAGGGTCTCCCGCTTAGGCGGGGGGTACACTAGATGACCTAAAAGGTCCCTTCCAACTTTGATTATCTGTATCTGATTCCATTTTTTATTCCCATTATAATTTTATCAGTCTGCAGCTGCAGAAGTATAAATTGGTTTATTTGTTACAATAATTATAAATCCCATTTCAACCATTTTCATACAATTCTAATTATTTGTAAAAAATGTTTTCTTCAGGCATGATTTTATCATTGCATAAATCCATTCTAGTTTTGTGGCTGGGAAATGGGGATTCCAGGCTTTTTTTCCCTACTAAAATAAGTAGTTTTGCCCAGAACAAGTAGCAGAATTTATGTCTTATTACACTTATGTGCAGCTGGTGAGTTTCATTGGTTTGGCTGAGCAGAGTGCGTTCCAGCAGGGCCTGGAAGGGATCACAGAAAGCGGTTTCCATGGGAGTTTTGAATCTTTTTGCATCAGACCCTTCCAAGTCTAAAAAAAATGCTGAATTTAGCCGACTAGGCTGACAAGAAGTGGACACTGTGGATAGGTTTACCTTGCCTGTGTGTTTTTGGGATGGTAAGGCATTAATGGATGCCACATCTGGTCTGTAGAACTCCAGACAATTCCTAAATAGCAGCTTTCTACTCTCTACGGTAGTACTCATCAAGACTTTTACAACCTGCATCAGGTAGCCCAGGTTATTAGAAGTATCATATAGAAAGGACTATAATTTCTAATCTCTGTTCAAGCTATGTCAAACAGATCCTGCTGTACAGATAGTCCTTGATTTACAACTATTTGTTTAGTGACCATTTAAAGTTATAAAGGCACTGAAAGAAGTGACTTGCAATCAGTACTCACACTTACAAGCATCACAACATTCCCACAGTCTTGTAAACAAAATTTGGGTGCTTGGCAAAAGATACGTATTTACAATGGTTGCAGAATCCTGAGATTATGTGATTGCCACTTGTGACCTTCCCAACCACCTTCCGGGACAAGGTAAAATCAATGGGGGAAGCTGGATTTGCTTAACAACTATGCCAAAATGGTCCTCAAATCAGGAGCGACTCACTCAAAGAGCACCTTGCTTAAGGGAAATTCTGGACCCAACTGTAGTCGTAATTCGAGAACCTGTACTTACACCTATCCTTTAAAAGGGAACGGTTCTTACACAATCCTCGAATCTGGGCTTCAAAAGCGATCACCAGGGAACGCTCTACCTGACGAGGGGGAGGGGGGAAAGCGCCCAGCTACCCACAAAGGCTTTGTTTTGCTACGTTTCGCGACGGCCGACTCGCCCGTGTTTGCGGCTGAAAGTACGCCCAGCCCCGAAGCCGAAGCCCAGCCACCTGCCATTCCTCTCCTGCCTGCGGTTCTGCCCGAGCCCGCTCGGCATTCCTCCAGTGCCGACCTGGTCGCCGCCTGCCCTGCCGGCTCCCTGGCTGCTGACCGGCCTCCCGCCTTTCCGGACTTTCTCCCTCCCCTCCTCCCTGTTTGCTCCCAGTCCTCGGCCCAAACGCGACTTCCTCTTCCTTTCCGAAGCTCCCGCTGTCCGCCCTGGTTCGGGCCGGACTGTCCTCGGCAGATCGCGGGGTGGGTGGGTGGGAGCGCACTGCCGAGCCTGGCGCGGCCGGGAGATCGCTGGCGCGCGCTCCCCGTCTCTCCTCCGCTCCCCCCCTCCCCTTCCGTCTCTCTCTCTCTCTCTCTCTGTCTCCCTCCCGAAGTGCCGCTCCTCCCGAGGGACGCAACAGGAGCCAGGAGCTGGCGGACTCCGAAGCCGAAACAAAGCCCGGGCGCTTCGCTCGCCTCCCGCTTTCTTTTCCTCCCGCTGCGTCTTTCCGACCCCTCGGCGGCTTCTTCTGAGGACTTTTTCCTGCCTTGTGGTGGCCACTCAGCTACCCCGAGAGGTAAGGCGCGGAACGGGACGAATCTGCCCCGGTAACTAGTGGAATGACGTGGGAAACGAGGATCCACGGGAGGGGAGAGCCAGAGGGGAAATGCGGGGTCCCTCCGAAGGCGAGCGCTTTTTTCTCCTCCCCCCCCCCCCCCAATCCCTCGTCGGTCCTATTGTAGAAACCCTTGCCAGAAAAGAGTCACTTTTGGCGGCGGGGGTGGAGAACCCGGCTGCCCCTCCGCCCATCCTCAGCTGAAGTACAATGCTGTACTGAAGTAATCTCGTTGTCTTCCCGATAACACACTGAACTATACTCTGGCCGGCTGCCTGCCTGGCTGGCACGATAGGCTGAGCTCCCTTGTAGGCAGCCACTTTTCCACTTAGCGTCTTGGGCGAAGCGAGGCTTAAAACCTTCTCACTCGGGCCGGGGGAGGGAACAGCTGGTTTCCGAGGAGGTGTTCGTTTTCAAAGGCGAGAATGTGCATGCAGATTGTTCCCATTCCTTTGGGGGAGGGTGTGTGTGTTACCTTTGTTTTTTTTTTCTAGTAATCCCTGAAGATCAATCCTTGCCTTGCTTTGTTTTTGACATGAGTAGTTTTTAAACATGATGCAGTCTCCCGAACTGGAGATTATCAACCTTTTTGTTTGTTTTTTTACTATCGCTGAAAGTATTAAAAGAGGTTTTTTGTTTGTCTGTTTTAAAGACAATTGGTTATCTTCTGGATTTTACCTGAATCGGGGAAGATAGCACATGAAAGAAAGGGTTGTTTACTATGAATTGCCTCCTTAAAGGGGAAGGATGATCCAATGAGTTCAGCTGTATTAAAATCAGTATGCTATATAAAACATTGACTTCCTCCGTGGCAAAAGTATGAGGCTCTATTTTTAGATGAGAGATCCCACATTGTACAGAACTGTAAGATCATGCTTAGAATAGAATTGGGCTATGCAGGTTCTTGAGCTTGTTACATATTGGCCGAAGCATGCCACAATAAATTTGTGCTGAACCCTTATTGTTAATGGGGAATCCTGCATATGCCATGGGTACACCTAAGGCCTGTAATCTCGTCCTTCCCTATAGTGCTAACAAAAAGTTATGTAAAAGTTTTGATTGACTAACCCATGATGTGTCAATATGTGTACCTACTTGTCTCATTCTGATTCATCCATATTGCTACTAACTGGAGCATAACATGCAACTATCATGAATTCCTACTTTTGAGGAACATAATTAGGCCATCTAAGTATCCAAGTAGTATGAATGAGAATGGCGCTTGTTTGCTGAATATCTGCTTAGAAAAAAGAGTGTTATGAGTACATATTATAGCATAAGTTTATTCGTGTATAAACATAGCAAAGGAATGAATCTAAAACTATACCTGGTTTGATAAAATGAAAGTCTGAAAGAATTAACAAAGGATACAAGAATGATGAGATGTTCTGAGTTTTTGGTAGAGTCAAGAGTAGATCATAGGAAAGAGAAACTACAGTGAATACAGAGTGGCTACAGATACTGTAAGTCCTGCATGACAAGATTAAAGAACAGAATGAATGGAAATTGGATGTAATGAAAGAGGGTGTGGGAAACTGCTTGGAACAGAGTGAATAAACTTACGTTACAAAGTACTATAGAGGTTTGTGAAGTTATATTAACATTAGAGTGCTGGATGAGGGGAAGAGAGAGAAGAAAGATAACAAAAAGTCAACATATTGTTTGCTTATAGAAAGAAAAATATAATTGGAAAAATATAGTGAAAGAAAGCAAAGATTAAGATTAAAAGAAGGTAGCGAATGCAGAGTACAGGTACTCCTGGACTTACAACCAGTTAAGTGAATCATGCAGTCATTAAGAAAATCTGGCTTTCCCTGTTGACTTTGTTGGTCAGAAACTGACTGGGAATATTGCAGGTGAAGATCACATGACCCTGGGATGCCACAACCATCATAAATACATGCTGGTTGCCAAGCACCCAAATGTTGATCATGTGACCATAGAGATGCTGCAATGTCATCAGTGCAAGGATTGGTTGTAAATTACTTTTTTCAGTCCCGTTGTAACTTCAAAAAGTCACTAAATGAATCATTGTAAGTCAAGGATACCTGCAATTTTGATAAAAATTATAATTGTTTTGGAAGTGATTGGAAAATTGCTAAAGGAGGAACCTCCAACAGAATGAAATGAAGCATTTTTTTAAAAAGTGATGATATGACCCTGGATGAAACTGAAGGGAATGCTGGAGTAATGAATCGTTAGAGATTTATACAGGAATGATGGTTATGCAGGTAGTCTCTAACTTACAACCGCAGTTGAGCTCAAATTTTTTGTTGCTAAACAAGATGGTTGTTAAGTGAGTTGTGCTCCATTTTACAACCTATTTTTCCACAGTTCTTAAGCAAATCACTGCAGTTGTTAAATGAATCATGTGGCTGCTAAACAAATCTGATTTCCCCCATTGACTATGCTTGTTGGAAGCCAGCTGGGGAGGTTACTGTTCTATCGCCAGAACAAAGCAGACTCGAGACCGGAGTTGAATTCAGCTCTTTATTAACAGTCAGTAACTTCAACTGAAGTCGAGCCGCGGCAGCCCTTTTTATAGCGGCTGCTCGCGGCTCGCAACCAATGGCATTTATTTAAACTTCCCGCCACTTAGGCGGCCAACCCAGAACTGTAATTATCTACCAATCGTTAAGCAATGTTAACTGTCCAATAGGAATGCAGTATTGCGAGTATGCAACAAGTACACTACAGTTACAATTTGTGATCACATGACACTGGGACAGTGCAACTGTCATAAATACATGCCAGTTGTCCAGCAGCCAAATTTTGACCATAGGGATACTGCAATGGCCATAAGTGTGAAAAACAATCATAAGTCACTTTTTTTTAGTTCTGTTGTAACTTTGAATGGTCACTGAATGAATGGCTGTAACCTGAGGACTACCTGTGTGTTAAAGCAAGGGTCGCCAACCTTTTGGACCTCAGGAACCACCAAACTCATAATTTTAAATCCTATGGACCAATCCCCGGGAAAATCCCCCAAAAAGTCTGCAGGAAAATTCCTTGTTTATCTACCAATCGATCATTCTTTATTTGGGATCGCAGAATACCATCTCCAGGTCCGTTCTCAGGGGTATAGAGAGAGAGAGACTTTTGGCTTCATGCAAGGAAAGCAGCAGAAGCAGCAAAAGTCTTTCTTTCTTTCCCCCAAACTCTACCAGAAATGAGTCTTTGCCGGTGCAGCCTCTTGGAGCAGGATGCCTTGCAGGGTCCCAAAGACTCATTTCTGGTGGATTTGGGAGAGAGAAAGAAAAAGTTTTGCTGTTTTCCTTGCATGCAGCCAAAAGCAGAAAAAAGTTTTTTTATAGAATAACAGAGTTGGAAGGGACCTTGGAGATCATCTAGTCTACCTCTAAGCCGCCAGAGAACAGCCCGGTGATCAGGAGACATGCATGGGGCGAGTGGGGCAAGTTCCCCCTCCGTCCTTTCCCCCGTCCCCTCACTACCTCATGTTGTTCGCAATGCAAGCGACAAAAGCCTTGTGTTCCCATGGGCCATGTGGGCGGTGCAGCCTTGTGTTCCCGTGCAACCTGGATTAATTGCTTCGGGGGTGACATTTCTCTGCGGACCCCCAACATTTTTTTGTAGACCACCAGTGGTCCCTGGCCCACTGGTTGGCGACCACTGTGTTAAAGAGCAGAATTTAAATCAATATAATAAATGTTAAAGAAAAAGTCATAAAAGCTGTAAGCATGTTGACAAAAGATAAGGGCTCAAGTATAATCTGCAATAGGAAAAAAGTTTAAATTATGGGTGTGATTTGCTAATTGAATAGTATTTTGTTTAACTTTGTTTGTATTTCATGCATGCAAGTTGTATATATGCCTGATCATTGGAAGAATGTTGCTATTGTTGCTTATTCAAAACAAAACTTATCAAGAATGAATGCAAAAAAAACCCCCAAAACACCAAGGGGATTAGTCTGTTAAGTATGCCTGGGAGGGCGCTTGTCAGAATTCTGATGGAAAATAAATGAGAGGGAGAAAAATTTGGGATGTGGTTTTTTGCCACACAGGATCTCTGAAAATGTATTTTTGCTCACCAGGGTATTGAGAAATACAGGAATGTGACATCTATCATATGTTACTGTTTTAGACAAAGTGTATGATGAATGGATTTTGAATTATGGAATGTTGTGTGCAAATTCAGAGTGGGGGTTGTGCTGAATATAAAGCAATACACGAAGAAACTGTCATGAGAATAGATGAATCATTTATTAAATGGTTCAAACTTGAGCAGTAAGGAAGGAATATGTAAGTCCCCTTCATTGTTTAAGTTATTCAAGATAAATAAACAATGAATACTTGTGCTTGCACACAGTGAGAGTATCAGAGGAGACATGGAGGTTAGTGAGCAATGAAAAAGCTTTGGGATGGCACATTGATGTCTGCCAGCGCCATGTTGCATACCCTGTGCTACAGTATTCTTAATAAGACTTGTGTATTTTAAGTGGTTAATGCATCAGATATAAGAAGCCAATTCCAGTGTAGTCTTAATGAGACTTTCACCTCAGAGATTACAACAGAAAGAATATTGTATCTTAGCCAATAATGGCTTTCCTTATGGACCAAACGTTCATCTGTCTGCATTTCTTACTTCAGGCTACTAGATCCTGATCCAAATTTCTAGCTGATGACCTTTTACTTTTAAACATTGGTTGTCTAGATTTTTGGAGCCTAGATCTGGAAGCTTTATTAGTACTGTTTTAAGTAGACATCTCTTGTGAAAAAAAATGATGGAAAACTTGAGCAATACATTAAATATAACTATCTGTTAAGTTACATAATTAGTAGGATTTGTAAGCCATGCTGCAGGTTGGAGCTAGCTAGCTATATCATTTTTTCTGATGGTTTCATGCTCCTTTTTCTCTTGGCATTCTAGAGTTCCCTGTGCTCATTGTTGTATCGCTATGTTCTTAATTTTATTTAGTTTGTGCTTGCTCTTTCTTCATCTTG